AAAGCGGCCCAGAAGCCTCCCACTCTGTAACATTACATTACATTACATCACAACCACCAAGGTGGCCGCTACGGAGGCCGCGGTGGCAGTTGTGGTGGCGCCTATGGCGGCCGTGGCCGAGGCAGCAACATGGAAATGCCGACATGGGTTCGGGAGATGGTGAAGGAAAAGAACATCTATCATTGTGGACAGCCCTTTGGCAAGGGCCACCACTGCGGCAAATGGCGGCGTTACAACAAGGACCGCAAAAAAAATGCGGTTGCCTAGGAAGTTGCCCACATCATAGCCTCAGGCAGCTCGTGTGGGGAGCCGATGGACATAGAGGAACCAACCCGGAATCCACCAACGGTGGACTGTAGCCACTGTGTGCTTCGTTCAGTGTTTCTGCATCTGCAGAAGGCCCCGGGTCGGGTGTTCGTGATCGATGCATCCTGTAACATATGAAGCGACAATTCCCTCTGTCCTAACTTTGCCTGTCCAGACTCCGTCACTTCGCATGATCTTAATGGACAGCATATCTGGTGCAGCACGCCAGCCGATCGTGTGATTCCTTGGCTGAACAACTACAGCACTTTCAAACAGCGCACTCCGGACACAACTCGTGCGGTTATCTTGGTGCCCAAGTGCATCCACCTAGAAAAGGAATTTCAAACACGTGGTTGGACCTTGCTCAAAGAGTTTACAAAAAACTCCAGAATCTTCTCCGAACCTAAACCTGGAGGTGGTCACACCAGGTCCCCAAGTTTCAAGCATGGCTCGACCCCTGCCAGGAAAAGTCCAAGTGTTCTGCACTAGAACCTCTGACTGAAAACACCGTGCTACTACTACCGTGCAACTTTACTAGCACAAAAGCTGTCACATTAGTTGACTCAGGCGCTTGGCACGTTTTCGTATCTGCCGCACTTGTGCAAAAACTGGGTTTACAGCCCCTCACTAGCCACGTAGCTATTTGCGTGCTAGGAGACGGCGCAAATAGCGTCCGCCTCCAAGGTCAGGTGCATATGTCGCTCCATATTCAAGGATTCCGCTGCGAAATCGTAGTGCAAGTAGCTGCAAGTTATCCCTAAGCTCGCCGACGGCATCGGCCTAATTCTAGGCAGCCGTTGGATGTGAGAGCACAGTGCATTACTAGACTTTGGACAGGGCACCTGCATGGTGACGCGCCATGGCCGCTCATACCGGCTACAGAGCCTAAACAGGCCGCAGTCCGAAGGTGTTGCGGTAATTCATGACGGCGGTCTTACACGCGGCCACTTCACCTAGCGTGAACCTGGTGTCTCTAAAGCAGATTAAAAAACTACAGAAACAAGGAGCGTCTTGTTACGCTGCCTTCATAACCAGTGACGATATCGCCCAGCTAAACGCTATGGACGCCACAACGGCGATCCCACCCTGGTGTCGCCAGATAAACTGGAAGAACTGCTGGACGAATATAAGGAGGTTTTTGAGCCCTTAACGGGCCTCGGGCCGGATCTCGGCACTGGCCACACCATCGAGCTAGAACCTGGCAAAAAGCCACCATACTCCCAACCGTACCGACTTTCCCAGTTGGAGCAAACGGAGTTGAAAAAGCAGCTCGCGGACTTCATGGCCAAAGGCTTCATCGAGGAATCAAAATCGCCTTTCGGTGCACCCCTACTCTTCACACAAAAGAAGGACGGCTCGCTGCACATGTGCCTCGACTTCCGCACCCTCAACAAAATCACCGTAAAAAACCGGTATCCACTTCCAAACATCACCGACCTCCTCGACAAACTTCAGGGTGGGAGCATATTCTCGTCCCTCGACTTACAAAGCGGCTATCATCAAATCCGCATCACGGAGGAGGACATCCCCAAAACCAGCTTCATAACACCCTTCAGGACGTTCCAGTACAAAGTACTGTGTTTCGGGTTGACGAACACGCCAGCGACCTTCCAAAAGGTCATGAACACCATGCTTAAAAAACACATCGACGCTGGTTACTGCGTTGTTTACCTGGACGATATCCTCACCTTCAACAAAGATCCATCAAGTCACCTCGAACACATGCGCACTGTCCTCAAATCCCTCAAAGGGGCATGTTTCCACACAAAACACGAGAAGTGCGAGCTGAACAAGCCCGAAGTAAACTTCCTAGGCCACATCGTCGGCCGCGAGGGACTCAAGGTGGATCCCCACAAAATCGAGGCCGTTAAGAACTATCCCGTCCCAAAAGACATGACGGCGCTGCACGGTTTCCTAGGCCTTGCGAACTACTTCCGCAAGTTCATCCAGGGATACGCATCGCTAGCAAACCCACTTACGGCCCTCACTGGCAGCAAAAGGCTGACCGAATGGACGAACACGCACCAACAGGCCTTCGACGGCATTAAAAACCCCCTCGCCAACGCCCCGGTGCTACACCTTCCTGATTTCGCCAAACCGTTCGAAGTCATAACCGATGCAAGCATCTACAGCACAGCAGCACGCCACCTGTGTGCTGCTGCAGGACGGACATCCCGTTGCATACACCAGCACAAAGTTCACGCCAGCCGAAATCAACTACACTACCACAGAGCAAGAGCTCCTGGGTACGATTAATGCCCTACAAGAGTGGCGACCGTACCTGGAGACCGCACAAGACACCTTTACACTGGTCACCGACCACCATCCAAACATTTGGTTTGAAACCAAAAAGGACCTGTCACGACGCTAAGCGTGATGGCAAGAGTTTCTGTGCCGCTTCCACTACACGTGGCAGTACCGACCGGGATGCAAGAACGTTGCTGACCCCCTTTCCCGCATCCATACAACTCACACCGCGGTCGCAGCCTTGAGGTATATTGGCATGCCTACTGACGGGTCTCCAACGGAACCTACCCTGGCGGACCGCCTACAGGCGGTAATGCCGGACAAACCGGACGCCAACTGGGGCACTGCCTCGTTCACCGACGGCACGTGGTTTAAGGGCAACAAAATTATCGTGCCCAATGACCCGCAACTGCGAAAAGACATCCTACACGCCTACCATGATACACCGCTTGCCGGGCATCACGGTGTGGCTAAGACACTATACACAGTTGCTGAATGTTTCTGGTGGCCCGGCATGTACAGTGCCATCGAGTGCTACGTGCACGAATGCCCGCAGTGCTAACACAACCTGATAACCAAAAGCCAGCAGGCAAACTGCAACCCCTGCCCACCCCAATGGGCCCATGGCAGGTGGTCTCATCACCAGCCTACTGCAGACTCCCTCCGGCAACACTGCCATCTGCGTCTTCGTAGACAAGTTCTCGAAGATGGTCTCGCTGGTGCCCACAACGGACCAACTCACCACCATTGGCTTCGCAAAGATGCTGGTAAACCACATCATCTGCAAACATGGCCGAATCACTGCGCTCCTCACGGATTGTGACCCACCGTTCACAGCACAAGCCATGCGCAACACAGCGAAGCAACTGGGCGTAAAACAGCTCATGTCCTCGTCATTCCACCCGCAAACGGATGGTCAAACCGAGCGCACGAACCGTGTGCTGCAGGAGGTCCTGCGTAACTACGTGGGTCCCGACCTAACGGACTGGGAAGACTGGCTGCCAAAGGCAGAATTCGCTATCAACAACAGCAAGAACCGGACAAACACCGTTCTACATCGTCTACGGACGCACCATGTCCCTACCACTCGACCACGACTTGCCACTGCAGCAGTCCAAATATCTGGCGGCAGATGAACTCACCGACAGCCTCACCCAACGGGTTACAATGGCCACTAAGTGCCTCGACGCCGCAAAGCAGCGCCAAGCCAAATACGCGGACAAAGCTCGCCGTGAAGCCCAGTTTGAGGTTGGACAGCAAGACCTGCTGAGCACCAAGAACTTCACGTTCCGGGCACCAAGCATGAAAGGCCTTGGCGAGTTCATGCCACGCTACATCGGCCCCTTCCCCATCACTGCCAAGGTGGGCGAAGCCGCGGTTCGACTACAGCTTCCAGCGCACTTGCGCATGCACGACGTATTCCACGTCTCTAAACTCAAAGCCTACAAGGCTGGTAGCAGCGCGCCACCCCCACCTGCGATTCCCGCAGCTGAGGGCGAACCCTTGTGGTACGTGGACGAGATCCACGCCCACCGGCAGTCTCGCAGCAGGCGCCGCATCACCACGGAGTACCTCGTCAGGTGGCACAAACTGGGCCCCGAGTACGACTCCTGGGAGTCCGCAAAGGACTGCAACCAAGGATGCCAAGAGGCAATCCGCGCATATCATGGGAAACTGTGCGCAAAAGGCGTACCTCTACCCTAATTATCCACCTCACTCAAGGCGCCCCGAGGACGGGTTCGCATTCAAGAGGGGGGGAATGTAACGCCGCTAAGGCGGCCCTCGGCTCACCGGGCCAACGGTCATCGTACCAACGGTACATCCAAGAACTATTCATAATCTTCCAATACCAACCGGTATTTATCAATACCACCTTTTATCGTTGGATAATTCTCTTCGTAACTGCTTCGCCAACTGCCGAGCTTTGTTACATCACCGGTAACACCAGACATGCATATCTACCAGAACTCACGCCGCATGGCAGAATCATTTACTCCTGGCCCTGAAGCGAATATTTCGATCATGAGGTCGTAAATCTAGGAAAGGGTCCTATCTCTTCATCGCTAAAATTCTCTCCAGACCACGTAAAATGACAAAGACACGATAACGGACCCATGCAGGGGTCGGCAAACGCCGCTGATACAGCGGATCCTTCCGTTGTACCCGTTGCAGAAATTCAACTCTATTCTTCATCGCTGGTACGGCAGCCGTGCGGCAGGGTGCAGAAATCGGCACGCAGTCCTGGGGGCCCTGACTCGAAGTGAGCCCCACCCTGGAGTTAGTTGGTACCGCTTTCATGTACTTCCTCAAACAAACTGCTTATCTAGTACTGTGATGTTTTATTTGTTATATTTCAAGAAAGCTGAACTGGAATTGCAAGGCGCCACCGCAGTTGCCGGTGCCATGAAAGCGCGACCGTCCCGGGACACAGCATCAGGCCTAGAAATAGACTTATAGGAATACAGAAAACCTAGCTGTAAACGGAAATAAACAAAGCCATGGAGTTTGTCCTGGACCCGAGCCATCTGCTTGCATCGCGAAAACCACGCGTCGCGCGACGCAATGCCAGTAAAGTTTGCCATCGCCACAAAACAGGAAAGCAAAACACACGTTGGTAAAACAAACAACAACGGGGATAACGGCTCGCCGGTCAACACCCTCGCTCGGTTCTTAAAAACACAAAGGGGCTAATGTCTCAACACAGCTACCAAACATACACACCGCTATATGACTACTCCACAATAACAAAGTAGTCCTCCTCTTCTTCCAGCTGAACTGCCGCCATGCCAGCCGTCCCCGCGCCGATGCCCGTCTCCGCCGGCCGAGTGCGCCCGCGCGGCGCCAGCGGGGGCACGCCTGCCGCCCGGGGCCCTGCCGATGACCGGCCCGCGAGGTCCTCAACGTCCTGGATGAAACCCTGGACATCTTCCTTACCCTCTGCACTTGGAATCACCCCGAACGCGACGGGGATGCCATTGTCGTGCTGGTCCACCACGAGCAAAGAAGTGACCGAGTCAGGGCCCCCCGGGCGTCTTGCCAGAAATTCCCCCCAAAAGGCAGGTTTGCGCAGTTTTGAAGCTATAAACTTCATCATTAGGTTACCAAACCTTCCATTTTACAAGGAGGTAAACGCTAGCTTTGAGAGGTTCTCATAACGAACAGTCAATTGACGACCTTTCCTCGGCTTTTACCAAAAAAAATTCCATACAGTTATTCGACCCTGGCACCAGTACCCGTGACAGTTATTCAGGTTTTGCCGACCTCTGGACCCATGAGCAAAGTTCAGCAGCAAACGAGGATGGTCTGCTGAGTCGATGATCCAGTCGTTGGCCTCGTCAGGGTTGGGTTTGAAGCTCGCGCAACCCTGATGGCCAGGACCTCTACCAAACACCACCAAACTTGTGCAATCTTACCAGCACTCATACAACGAACGTTATCAACTATGTTTCGCATTCCTTGTGCCATGCAAGGGCGCCCACTTGCTTGACTCCCACTCTCCCACATTCTGATCAACGCCTCTTTGTGTAAAGCCGCACCCCTTAATTAGAACTAGGAAACCACTGGTTTGTTCCAGCAATTCTCATTGACTTTAAGCCTATATGGTCCCTCTGGCCGAAACAGCAAGAGATTGGGTCTTGGGCTTCCCGCGAATCCATATGTCAGCTTGCTGTGCTTGCAATGGACTGAGTACTTAAGCTACTAGGACTACTAGGACGGCATCCAATCATGTCTTATGATTCCTCAAGGCTTTATGTGGATCAGAGGGTGAGCATTGCGGCGCCACCCAGATTTTCCAGCACTGATTATTTTAGCTTTTCGCCGCAGCATTCTATTCCAATAATTCATTTAAGGAATACTGAACCAGTTGGCAGGCTTATGTTCTCTTGCCAAGTGTGACCTTTGTTGTACGTCAACCATCGCCCTGTATCAAGTCCTCAAGTTGGGCCGTTGCCCCTTCCCTTCCCGGGTGGTACTGCCCCCGTGGGCTCATCGGTGGCGCTTCCCTTCCAGCTCATCCACCCGCTGCAGGCACAAGCCGCGCCCCTTCATGGCTAGCACACCCAGGGCTGCAGCCTGGCTGTCGTCGTGATATTGTAGCGACTTTCCCGTTAGCAAGCGTGGGCCCGCAACCTTGATCCAGTACATCACCCGGGCTACCGTGCAGAGCTCCCGTTCCATGCTAGACATATTCCCCCGGGCCATGCGCTCCGACTCCTGGGTGAAAGGCACTCTCATCTCGCTCACTTCCCCAGCTGGTGATCTGGCAGGTAGGCGGCATGGGCCTTCTAGATGTATTACCCGCCACTCTCAGCACCAGTGCTGGCGTGCCGCCACCATGTCTTATCATTCTTGAGCCGCCGCAGAGTGATGAAGAGCCACACCCTGGAGAGGAAGATGGCGGGATCTCCCGCCACTTCATCCCAGTCTGCCCCCTTGCTGCAGGGCAGACTGGGGGGGCGGTCACCATATGCAGACCAAGCGCCGACACCACAGACACTTGGCTGCCCTGTACCACCTCCCTTCCAATTCACGAGCCGTAGCCACATAGCAGCGTGCACGTCCCTTCCCTTTTGCAGGGCGCCGAACGTGGATCCCGCCGCAACTACCTTGGCACTAGGGCGGGTCCAAACCCCCCAGTCTCGCCTCCCGTGGCTGAGCCAATCCTTGCCGTGCACTGCCTACCTCCCTCCATTGCCGGGCTCTGCCTGTCTCTTCGCGGCCATCACAGATAACCCAGCGCTCCCCTGCTCTCTTGAGGTCCTCATGCTCGAGCTCACAGTTCTGGGTTCCGCTGCACCGGCTCGGTTTTCCTAGGCGCGCCACATTGCAGCAGACGGCTGGTCGGCTGCACAGGACAAGGTGTCGCTGTCCAGGCACAGCTCTGCCGGGTGGTTGCGCCTCTGGGCTTCTCTTTGCGCCGCGATTAGGGCCGTCTGCCATGCCACGGCCCATTGGCTGCCTCGCCTGCTGGGGCGCCGCCTTGGCGGCCTCTGCCATGCTGGCCTTCCCGCCACCATGTGCGCCGCCAAACCTGCCTCTAGCCCCCGCGGCCTGCTCTCCCCGCCGCCTCACCCGGGGGGCTTCCCGGGATGCGTGCACCCAACCTTCGCCTCCAAGCAAGTCTGTTTTACCTTTGGTGCGCCCCCTTAGGCCTCAGGGGTCACCCTTATCCCGCTGAGGTGCTCGTTTCCTGAATCAAAGGGGGGTGGGTGTCCGCCAAAATTCGGTCCTGCTTGCATCACCAAGTGTCTCGTCATAAAATGAGTCAGCTATGTGCCCTCTATGCTGCATTGTCAGGGCGCGCGTACCAGCCTCACTCGCGCCGCCTCCATATAAGGGGTTAGTCTTCCTGTCCCATTCCTAGGGAATGCTAGCTCGAGTCCGTCGGGCCTCGCGTGCCATGTCGTTCGCTAGGGGTGCCGTCCCTCCCAGTCGCTAGGAGGATCAGCCTCCCAATCGCCAGGAGGATCAGCCTCCCAATCGCTAGGAGGATCAGCCTCCCAATCGCTAGGAGGATCAGCCTCCCAATCGCTAGGAGGATCAGCCTCCCAATCGCCAGGAGGATCCGCCTCCCAATCGCCAGGAGGATCCGCCTCCCAATCGCTAGGAGGATCCGCCTCCCAATCGCCAGGAGGATCCGCCTCCCAATCGCTAGGAGGATCCGCCTCCCAATCGCTAGGAGGATCCGCCTCCCAATCGCCAGGAGGATCCGCCTCCCAATCACCAGGAGGATCAGCCTCCCAATCGCTAGGAGGATCCGCCTCCCAATCGCCAGGAGGATCCGCCTCCCAATCGCTAGGAGGATCCGCCTCCCAATCGCTAGGAGGATCCACCTCCCAATCGCCAGGAGGATCCGCCTCCCAATCGCTAGGAGGATCAGCCTCCCAGTCGCTAGGAGGATCAGCCTCCCAGTCGCCAGGAGGATCCGCCACCCAATCGCCAGGAGGAACCGCCTCCCAATCGCTAGGAGGATCCGCCTCCCAATCGCCAGGAGGATCAGCCTCCCAATCACCAGGAGGATCAGCCTCCCAATCGCCAGGAGGATCAGCTTCCCAATCGCCAGGAGGATCAGCCTCCCAATCACCAGGAGGATCAGCCTCCGAGTCACTTCAGCAATGGCATGCTGGCCTAAGTTTGTCGAGCTACACGCATCACCTGCGAACCGCTTTCCCGTGCGGAGGGTATTCTAAGGCTATTTCCCCCCTTCGCGTCGTGCTGCAGGGCCACTGGCCCAATGAATGCTTATATTACTGTACCGCGTTCCTTTCTTCGCTGGGCGCACTCTCGGGCAACTCACCGGGCCGTCTACAGGGTTTCTCTTCAACGCCGCCTTCCAACATGTGCCTCGCCGCCGCCACAAACCGAATGCCAAGGGTCAGGAAGGTTAGATGAAAGTAAACCGAACCCGACTCTGACAGGCACCAGTGTCGCTGGTTCGTTAGGAATGACTTTTCATGTTGATTGACTGGACTCTTCGTTCTTGTGTGTTTGGCGTTGTTGCGAGCATTAAAGTCTGTACGTGTTTCGCCGTGGCTGAAGCGCCCTCACCAGACGTGCCCGACGAGTTAGGTAAGGTCCAGGAGTGACTCGCGCCGCCTAACGCCGTCGATCTCCCGCAATCCCGGCGACCTTCCCGACGGCCCAGCACCATACCAGTTTGTACGGCATGTACACGCACAGTCGTAAAGCGCCGCAACAATCCTCAAGAGCCGGACAAAACTTGAATATATGTCAGCATCCTAGTGGAGGATATTTTCCGTGTCCATTTTCAAAAGTCCTAAAGTCGTACACATAAATTGGGGTCTGGCCTTCGGCAATCCTTAAGGCCTATCGCATAAACCACTACAAGCCTTGACGTTAGGCTATTTTCCTACAAACGCCGTTCCCGAAGCCGCTTCTCCATGGCTCGGAAGGTGCGGCGAGATTTTTCATTATTTAATTGTTTGCCGATACTCATAAGTTGCCATAGCTCCTATGTAGAAGACGGCAAGCACAATGGTCGCGGCAGCCCTGCGCAAAGTCTGCGATGCACTGGAACAGGTTTTCACCAAATTCTCTATGGACACGTTCAAGGGCCTACGTGTTAAGTGAGTACATTGATGGGTTGTTTTTTGATGGAAATTTTCCGGTTACCCCCGTGTTGCCATACCATAACCCTGAGGCTCCGTGCTCGACTTTAGGCAACTCCCGGCCGTTGTGCTTGTCGTTGCGTCCCTGACATCCCCGGAGATTGAGTGCCGCGAATGGGCTGGATGCGTACGAATGGGGCTGGATGAGCGATCGTCGGCTTATGCCACACCTCGAGCACTTGGTGAAGAACGCGTACGCTGTGGGGCAGCTGCAGGCACCTGCACCGCAGGTCCGAGTCACAGCTCGGAAACAGCAAGCGGACGACATCCAGCGTCCCGAGGCGGAATCCTACTTCGTAAGGAATCTAGGGCGATTGGCCTGGCAGGCAAGTTGGAGACGGCATGGTGCTGGGGAGCTGTCATTCCCGCTGTACTATCTCCTGCAGAACACGTTCGGCACTGCGGCGCAGTACGTACCGCATATGTGCAATAAGGGGGTCACCAAGGACCTGTCGGCCGGACATATTCCAAGCTGGGTGCCTTCATAGTCTGGTGGCCCCTGCCCCTGCGGTGGCAGTTGTATGGAAACACGTGCTGCCCTGGGTTTCCCATGCATTCCCTTGGTGAACGCACAGACTGTGGATCTATGGAAGGAACTGTGCTTCCAGCTGATATGATTGCACGTGACGAGCGGTATGCCGCCAAGGTGGCTGAAAACGTAATGCTTTGTTGCCCTGTTTGGTACCTCCACACTTTCATCTTGCCTTGCAGGCTGCGAGCCACGAGGGAGGAACTGATGCGGAGTTTTGAGGTGAATATGCATGTAGTCGCTGCATGCTTTCAACATCACCAATCAAGTTTTTGGGTGCGAGTGCAGGAAGGGAAGCAGGCAGCCAAGCGGGCAGGGGCACGCAGCATGGCAGCTGATTTGCTGGATGGGAATCTCAGTGATGCAGAGGACCTTGAGGAGGATGTGGTCGACGTGGGAGGCAGAAACGGGCAGGTCTGCCACAGAGCAGGTAATGTATGGTCTTGGCACATTGGGCATTGTTGCATTGCTGACCGATGGTACCCTTGTACAGGGACATCGGCCGCGGCGGTCGACCAGCAGCAGCTGCAGTGTGCCTTTGAGCGTTTCAGGCATGTCCGAAGTGAGGGCTGCACTAGTGGAGGTTGGTGTGAGGCTGAGCCGGACGGAGTTGGGTGCAGCACTCACACTCAAGACTGCAGGGTTATCATGGGGGCAGCCGACATCGCAGCAGGTGGGCCAAACCGCATTATGACTGTCTTACATGAGGCATGCTGTGAGCCATGGAATGCTGACGAGATAGTTCGTAATGCAGATGAGTGAGGCCTTTCAGCAGTTCGATTAGCTTCATGAGATGTTCGGTGAGGAGGAAGCCATTGGCATGGTAACCGGCATGGCTGGCTTCAAGACAACAGTAGCGACGCGCAAGAAGCTTGTTGAGCTGGGCTATTGGTGGCACGTAAAGTGGTGGCGGCCAAACAGGCGGCGGCAATAACACTGACTGAGGAAAAAAGTCAAGCCCTGGTTTGTTATGTCTTTTGCAACGTGTGTTGCCAATTCATAGAAGTTGTGTTTGGTTTGCTGTGTGACTCGACTTATAAGCAAAGGTCTAACAAATGAACGAAGGACGGCGAGGTGAGATGGGTGATGTCGGTGCGTGTACTGATGACGTCCAGGCTTTTGACAGACGGGAGTGGTGCAGCCTGCAGGGGCCGTTATTGGTGATATGTGCTCGTTTGTGTGCTATAATTGGACAGCTGATTATGGAGCTGTTCGTTATGGATGTTTCACATGGGCAGGGGCCCTTGCTTTGTGAAGATAACTCTCGGTGTTCAGTTTACCATATTGCTGACCCATGGGATGTGAACGAAATTGACTTGGACGTCTGGTACTGGCATTGGTGATCATGTAAACGCTTTCACCAGACTTTGTGAAATGGGCCATAAGTAAGCGGCTATGGACAACGACACCATCTTCCGATTGCAGGCCCGTCCCTATTCGCCATTCTGCAGCTCCAGCCTGCCCTCATCTTACCTTGGAACCCCCATCCTAATCCTCCATGTGTGTCCCCAATCCTCATCCTGCGGCAGCGAGGCCATCCTAAACCTGCGACAGCCTGCAATCCCCATCCTGCCAGCCATGGTCCCATCCCCATCCTTGGCCGGGGGTCCCAATCCCATCCTTGGTCAAGGTTTCAATCCCCATCCCTCCGACAGGGGATTCCCATCCCCATCCTCACCCCGACAACAATCCCTAACCAGAAAGTGTAGCAATCCTAATCATTGCCTTGCCCCCTACATCCAATCCGTCGTCACTCTATTCCCTATCCCGCCTGACCAGTACCTGCCCCCAATCCCCAACTTTGCAACCCGATGCAAGGGCCTAAGGACTATATCAGTCTTCATCTTTAAAGAAATAAAGCTGCTCGCTAGCTATGGCATAAACATGCCGGTTACCGACCGTTTTGGGCCCATTAACCCAACCGGCCGGTTGAATGGCGTTAACGGCCCGGTTGGGTTAACGGTCGGTTGGGTTAACGATCAGTTGGGTTAACGGTCGGTTGGGTTAATGTGCCCCAAACGGTCGGTAACCGGCATGTTTATGCCATAGGGAGTATCCCGGTAGCGCGGGAAGCATCGTTCGCCAATATTAATTAAAGGCCTCTAACACTGCAGGAAAATTTTAGTAGAAGATTTAGAACTATGTATGTATTTAGTTTTAGCGTTTGTTCCTGCTTTGAGGGCGTGAAATGCCGTGTCATTGTCCCTAATAAGTCATTGTCCCGGCATTTCAATTGTCGTCCATAAGCATGAACCAGGCCACCAACTCACAAGCTTACATGCAACAACTAAAACCAGGCAATACTAGCTACGCAAGCTATGCTAGGACAAACTTTTGAGACGACCAGAGCAACATGAAGTGGTGTCAAGCCGATGTCCCCAAGCAACTGCTTTGCATCCATGTCACTAGATTGGCGCAATAGGTTGACAAGGTCGTCCATATGGCACCTTTCCTTGGACAAGGCATCCTCCAATTGGCGCGTGCACGCGGTAAATTGACTTAGATTGTTTGCCCTGGCAAACTTATGTACTCCAAACTCATCCACTGGACGATGCTGGCTGTATTTCTTGCGTGGGCGATCTTGTCGCCGACGGGCGATGTTGTCCAGGGCGTTCCGGTCAAACTCGTAGGCGCCGACCTCATTACCGTTGTCCATGGACATTGTGTTGGAAGGATACGTTAAGGTTCAGATAAAATGAAGAAATGAAGAAGCGCTCCTTCATAGTATGGAGATGGTAGAATCTTCAAGCAACTTTTGAACGACCAGGGAGAGTTGCTGATAGGCGAATTTGCATGAAGCTGTAGAATTCCTTTATTCTTTCAAGGTAAATGAATGCTTATGTATTCGTCCGTTAGTAGCGTGAAGCTTTGAACACTCTTTGTACGGCAGATTCGGCACAATGTTTTGCCTCATTGCGATGTTGCCTGAAAATTTTGAACAGAAGGGATCACTGCTCATGCTGGTGCAGCAAGACATGTAAGGAGATGGCCTGGTCACAATCCAGCAGTCATATATCGACAATCTCAAGCTATGACAACTTGTTACATGTGTCTGTAATAAAAAAGGGACTTTGCGATGGTGTGGGGAGCTCTTTGAGTGGTGGGACTGTGGAAATCCAGTTTGTTTCGCCCGTAACAAGTTTGTTACGGGCGAAACAACGTCCCTCTGAAACGTTTGGATATGCCTATGCAACACATTTCCTCAATTTCATGAACTGCAAGTATTCTAATCCAACATCACCCCAATCTCAGTGTAAACTAGTCTCCAAATGTGCCTGCACAAGACTGTCACCCCTGTCACCCGGCATTCACATTGCCGTAACCTCCTCAAGCTTGTCGGGGTGTGACACGTGGGCATGAACCTTGTGACAATGGGCATTGTCACAAAGAAACTGGTTGCATTCAGAAATGCATTTTTGCTCATGCCAGGTTACCGACATCGGTTACCGATTACTGGGGACGGTTAATGGATAACGGTTCGCCCGGTAATCCTACCGACCGGTTACCCATCTCGTTAACTGGACCCGTTAGGTCGGAACCGGGCCGGAACCGGCCTGGAGTATGCCAAGCGCTTAGCTTTGTACAAGTTATGAATTTGCCATGCGTCATACAATTGGTGAACCCTGTGCTGGAAAGGTCTTGACAATTACACTTGACACAACATTGGTGGCGATTTCTCCAATTGTGTCACCGATTTTTATGGGCTATGTTTGTAGACCATCTCTACTGCACCCGGGCGAATAACTTCTGCAATAGGATGGAACATCATGGAACGAAATGAACTTACTGACACTGCCTGCATGAGGATGCACCAGCACCAGCGAAAGCCATACCATTTACCCAACCCAACATACAATGTAGAACACGTGTCGATGGGATTAACGAGACCGAAGGGACACCAACAACACCTTCCCAGGCGGGTCCCATACCTTAAGTACATCTGCCTTGTAACCTGTCAAACCACCCCGTAGCTACATCAGTCTATGGCATGCTCGTTTTGAGGTTAGTGAAGACCATCAGCCATTCCAAGTCTTCCGACCCAGTTCCAGATACTCTATCTTGTATTGAAGACCTGGGAAATCTTCGCTCTTTAAAGCTGCCTGAGAAGAACGCAAACGGCGTTGATATTATGCAGAGCACTGCCTTTCCGGGTAGCAAACCTCTGTGAGGCAGTTCTTCGCTGCTGTTAATGTGGACGGCGGGACCCTGCCATCGGTTGCCAAATACCGAAGTACCTTCATACACAGCAGGGGACGGTAAAAAGAACAAATACAGGTACTTCATGATTCCTTCGACTTGGTTGCGAGTGAACACTCCCTTAAGGTGTACCGAGACTGGGATGCACAGAAATATTTTTGGCCATCTACACAAATGCATAATCGTAGCTTTTCCTATGCATTACATGTAAATATATGCATATATTATATACTTATAGTATACATATATGTTATGTACATTTATTCTGGACACGCCGTCCACCTCACAAATACACATTCTGAAAAGACGCTCCCAAGTTCAAGAAGTGTGCATACCTGTATGCTTGGACAACCGTACATGGGAGCCCGCACCACCTGAAGACGTGTAGACAGGCTGAAGCAAAGAATCCCCAAGCATCATGCATGGGAAGGTCTGGATACTCCTCACAGGCGCTCTGGCAGGAGTCATTATGACCTGCATACAAGTTTTCCGGGAAGGTAGGTCATTACACAGGCTAACAGGTGCTTTCGGAGCCGGCAAAACACGCTCTGTCAGTCCTACAATTGATGCAAGGCAGTGCATCCAGCTTAATAAAGCGATTGTGGCCCATGCCCCACCTGCACTGTCTGCCCACTGTCAAGGTCCCAAATGCGCACAGTGCCATCATCAGAGCCAGATATTAGCAACTCGTGGTTCCTGCACTGCATCTCTATGCCGTTTCTGCCCATACGAGGGTCAAACGATGCCAACGTCAGGCAGGTCACTGAACAGCTGTGACCCACGAAGACCTGGTAACCACGACCATCCTGCACGTCATAACGTAATCCAGCGGCGGGCACCACTGCAGCGGCGCTACTCCTTGAGACGTCTATATCCGCTCCCAGTGCTAAAGCATACACAAAGCCATCCACGCCAGCCGCATAAATTGTCTCCTCGCCTGCGAACATAGACAGTGTCATGACGAATCGATTAGCAGCCTTGTGACCGCAGTATTCAATGGGTGTGAAACAACGGACCTTTGTAGCCTAGACTTCTAGTTACCTTCCCGGGCCCCGAACGCACCAGCATCGAGTGCAATGTCATTTATGGCCGCCGGCAACACCAGCGAGCATAACTGGCAACCGTCAGCAAGCCTTCGCAGCTTCACTGTGCGGTCCAAAGAGGCGCTGACCAAAACCGTTGACGCCTCGCCTATCCCCGCTGCGAGTGCAGTTACCTGCATTGTGTGGTCGCACCACGTGTGAAGCGGCTTGGGGTTCGCCTCTACATGGCCTGCCTGGTCTAGGCCCAAGAGAGGGTCAAGCAAATCTGCTAGCAGCCATGCATGCAGCATTGTGTCCTCCCCGCCAGATAGTAACATGGAGTTGCCGTTAATGAACAGCAGCGTCGTAACACCCTGTTAGGCAACAAGGAGTGGGTGCAAGGGATTAATAGCCTCACGATCAGTTCCCTGATTTTTCTTACCCCGGTGTAAGAGGAATGTGTACAGGTAATGTAGTTGTATGGTGATGGCTGCTTCCAGAAACCCAGGAGAGAGGTTCATGCGCTGTGCGGACACTTAAGCAGAAGCATATGCAACCAGGGGTACCGTGGTGCCCCATTACTGGGAACATAGCAAATACCGGCATCCCTATGCCTACTTAGGACTAAGGTTTGGCCCTTACCGAGCAGTTGTTAAAGTGTCATTGCTCGCGGGGAGCAAAGCCTTGTCACTGCACAGGGACTTGGGCCCCTAACACTTGCTTGCCAGTACACCCACTATAACATCTCTAACAATGTTCCATGCATACCAGAATTGAGAATGGGTTCCACATAGCCGCACACAGTAGTGGAACGGTGTGAAATGTGGCACACACCTTGTAGTGTGCAGGCCATGTGCATACGAGCCGACCTGAGGATAGCTCCCAAAGGTACAACGTCCCACTGCTAGCTCCTCCGGCAAGGTAGTGGCCGTCCGCAGTCGCAGCCAGAACCGATACAGCTTCCGGCAGTAGCGCATGGCCGTGGGGTTCATGCTGCAACCCAAAAAAATGGACTTTCGCCAGGTGTTGTAATGGTGATAACGATGTCGGCTATGATGACGATGATGATGATCACAAGCTATGCTCTAAACAGCAAGATGGAATAATGGGGCTGGGTAGGCTGGGTAGGTGGAGCACCCCCCTGGAGCCGGCACGCCAATATCCCGCGCCCGCTGTAAACCCTGCGCTTGGGGCGCAGGGGTGCGCTTAGCTGGCGTGGGGCTCCGAATTCCTCCACTTCTATTCCACTTCCCACCACAGCTCTTTCTGGCGCAACACAACTACGACTACGCAACTGCAAACCGCCATAACTACATCATTTCTAGAACCAATCTCCACCTATTGATAGGTACCCTGGTAACGGACGTACCGAAAAGGAGAAGAACTGCACGCTGTGTCTGTCCGCTTGCACCGCCGCAAAACGTTGCGACCCAAGCACGCATACTCCCTTAGGTGTAAAATCGCCCTTTAAACTCATCGCAATTACACCGCTTTTCAGATCACTGTAAAAAATTAAGGCAGGCACTTAATCCTCTCGACAGCAGAAGCGCGCGAGCAGGACGGCTTACCAAACGCTGATGGATGCGTTCACATATCCAGAAGCAACAATACAACTGGACGCCAGCATTTCAGCAGAACCCGCCACAGCATACGCAGAAGCTTCTCTCGTTGAAGCAATCCTAGCTGCTGCTGTTTAACCTCATTAGCAAACTGAAAGTGATATTCCGCACTGAACTAATCGATCTGCTATAAATGCGGCCAGTGGTCTGCATAACTAGCAGCCGCTGTTAGGTTTTCTCGTTACTTGTTAAGTCGTTAACTTTACTCTGGACAATCATTTGGGATATGGATAATGTACGACCTTCCGGCGCCGCCTAGGCTCTGGATAACTATTTAAGTCGTTGTGTTGTTTAGATTGTTATGTCATCGTTATTACATCTTGTGCTGGATTACATCTTGAGCTGCGGGCAACGCAAGCCCGCCGAAAGTGCCTGGCTCCGCTTAACAAACCAGATTTAAACCGACCCTGGAGTGACCGTTGGCACAGCAGGCGTAACCTACCTGTAGGGTTTAGCTCCTTCTACACTGCTTCAAAACGGCTTCCGATCAGGAGCTTCTATGAAAGCAACTACGTCTTGCAAATGAAGCAGAATCTCTGGCTTGGAGGGAACCTTGATGATGACGAAGATGCCGCACGGACTGGCAATATCAATGTTGAGATAAACAATAGAATTGAAGATATGTCTGGTAAAGCAGCGCAACTGCAGCTGGAATACATGCCGGCATGGGCGCTCCGGAGGAGGAGCAGCGATAGTGCAACGATTACTGATTAGTATTGTACGAGAGTGCCGTCATACGGCCTGTCTCTCACATAGTGTTCCTTAAAACTTCCGCATTTCTCCGGTACCCTAGCATCTACACTAGGGTTAGGCACTACTGGTAACGTGCGACCATTGCCCCCGGGAGATCCCGGGATTGAGACCTGTCAGGGTCGAAAATCCTTCCGATGGTGAAAGGTATTGCGCCCCTAGTTGGTGGACGGTGGTGACCTGGGATAAACTTAATCTACGAGCAGACCAGGGATGGATTTGGGCCGCTGTCGACCCGGAAGATTCCGTTGGATGCTGGTGGTGGGTGCGGGACCTGAGCGATCCACCGAGTAATGGACTAGGGTGACTAGATGAGGGTGCCCCGAAATACAGGGGAAGGCAGGGCTTCGCAGGGTAGCTGCCACGGGTGATGATATATCCCCCTGTTTCACACATCTGCACCAGGCTGCGGTCTGCATCGTTATTAATGGCAGCAATCACACCCTCCGCACGTGATGAGTGTGTTCCAAAGTGTGGTGATAGCGATGCCCCACAAAGAGCCTCTGCAAGTGGCCCAGGAACGTGCGGTATGGCAGGGTGGGACGGGCAGAGGGTTGCAGAGATGGGGGATTGGGGGCAGGTACTGGTCAGGCGGGATGGGGAATAGGGTTGACGACGTCAGGATGGGATGTGGGGCCCAAGGCGAGGATTAGGGATTAGGCGTGCTACACTACTTTGGGGATGGGGATTGCTGTCGGGGGTGAGGATGGGGATGGGATCCCTGTCTGAGGGATGGGGATTGCAACCTTGACCATGGAGGGGATTGGGAGCCCTGGCCAGGGATGGGGATGGGACCCTGGTCGACAGGATGGGGATTGCAGGCTTTCGCAAGTTTAGGATGAGCTTGTTGATGCGAAGGGTTGCCGTGTCGCCCTGTGGCCTGTTTGGGTAACTCGTCAGACTATCGTGAGTGGCAGCTGAGACCGGTCTGAGGTCGCATGTTAGACTTGGAGTGACAGCTTTGGACCTGTCTCGGGAGGCCCGTCGATATGGCTGTTAGGTTCTAGCGTACTGGTAACTCTCGTCCTTTGGGATAGGCTTTCCCAGCCTTTATAAGTCTCTACTGTTTATCGGTAACAGTACCTCAGATTCACACGTTTACGCCTAGGCAAAGGGGCTTTCGGTGGTAGGTCGCGGATCTCCCGAACACGTGTAACGGCTAATGTATCCTTAGTCGTGTCTGCTAGGTCCCTGTGAGATAGCGTCTCACCAACAGGTTATGAGCCCCGGGTAACGGTTCCCGGCGGTTAATATCTGTAGTTGCTTTTAGCTTGAGCAGGGAGGCTCGCTAGGCAACCGACATGGGAAAAGGGTGTAAGACCGTCCTCTTAGCGGACGGGTCTAACTACTCACAGTGGCTAGGAGACTTCGGTGACTTCCTTGCTACATCCAAGCTGCGGAGCTATATGACCAACCCGTCGCCACCGGGACGCAATGCGCAAGACGCTCTGGAGGAAGATGCCCAGGCGCTTGGCTACCTGCGTCTTTCCTGCGAACTGCCAGTAAAGCAGTTGCTCAGGAACTGTCAGTCGACTCTCGCCGCCATGCAGCTCTTACAGCTGCAGTTCCGTTCTGCCTCTCAGGCCCGGCTTAGCCTGCTAGAGCCGCAGAAGCAACTGCGCATGGGTGACGACGAGACGACCGCTGACTTCATTCAGCGGGCGGAGCAGCTCCGCAGCGACATTATCTCGGCGGGCGGCCAGTGGGACGAGGCTGCTATGCGACATGCTATTCTCCACGGTCTGCCTCCACAATACGCTATCACAGTCGAGTTCGCAATGTATTTGCCTAACCTGACCACCCCGCAGCTCGTGTTCATGCTGCGGGAGAAGGAGAACAATTTGAAGGCTCAAGCAGTCAAGTCCGGCCTGGTTGGAGCTGTCGGCCCTGGTCGCACCGCCCGTGGAGTCCGCGGTGCTGCCGGCGCCTCGGGCGCCGCGGGGGCCAACGACACCTGCCGCTACTGTGGACAGCTTGGTCACTATGTCCGTGAGTGCCCCGTCAAGCAGGCTGACGTGTCCGTAGGCCTCTACCGCAGCAATGCGTTTGAGCAGCCACGCAGCAGTGGAGCCGGCAGCAGTGGCAGCGGCAACCGCCATCGTGATGGAGGCGGCGGAGGCACCAGCGGCGGCAATAACAGCGGGGGCGACAGGACGCGCGAACGCGGCCGTGTTAGACGCGGCAACGGCCGCCGCAGTGGCAGCGACACTGCTGGCGGAAGCAGTGGCGGCGGCGGCGGCGGTGTAAGCTCACGCCAGAACCGTGCCACGGTGCTGGTCGTCGGTGGCAGCGGCAACAGTTCAGCAGTAGTCCTAGACTCTGGTTCACCTTATCATCTTACAGGTGACCGCTCACTGTTGCACAGTTACGTTCCCTCCGGCTCGCCCAAGCAGATTAAGTGGGGAAATAACCAGCTGGCCGACGTCATGGGGACAGGGCAGCTACTCCTACGGACGCGCGGTGGAGAAACCGTCTTGCTAAGCAACGTACTCCATGTCCCCAGCTCGGGACTGACGCTCATGTCTGTCGACCTTCTCGTGACGCGCGGCTGCTCAGTCACGTTCGGCACGGACAAGGCGGGCCGCCGGTTCTCGCGAGTAGGTCTGCCGCACGGCGGTTCGTCTATCACCGCGTGGAGTGAGAGTGGGCATTACGTCATGGACGTGGACCTGCTGGCGCCGACCAAACGCGCCGTCAGTGCGCTCGGTGCTGCGGAAGACAGAGCCGGCGGAGGTAGCGGCGCTGGCGGAAGCGCCGCCGGCGCCAGCAGCAGTGACGACGGCGGAGATCAGCCAAACACCGGCGCCAGCAGCAGTGACACCGGCGGAGACCAGCCGAACGGCGCCGGCAGCAGTGACACCGGCGGAGACCAGTCGAACGGCGCCAGCAACGGCCAAAGGCAGCTGGGTGCCCTTGAGTACTCAGCCGCCGAACTCGCAGCAGCGCAGCGCATGCACCGCCAGTTCGGCCACCTTGGTTACCGGGCGTTGGAGCAGCTTATCACCAAGAAGCTGGTACATGGACCACGGGTCACTCCCGCGGCGCTGCGTCAGGCGGCAAAGGGTGTCTGCGAAGCCTGTGTCACAGCGAAGACTACAGCTACAGCCCACGTTAGCCGCGGTAACCGGCCTCAGCGTGTCCTGGAGGTCGTACACTCTGACCTGTGCGGGCCTATGCCGACCACGGGCCGAGGAGAGGCTCGCTATGTGCTAACGCTGCTGGACGGTGCCTCCGGTCTGTCTGCCGTTCGCACACTGGTTAGCAAGAACCAAGTGGGCGAAGCGCTGCAGGACATGGTGACGCAGCTGGAGGCTCGCATCCCGAACGGTGCACGGGTCCGCACCCTTCATAGTGATAACGGTGGCGAGTATGTCGCCGAGCAGCTGGCACAGTGGCTACGCCAGCGCGGCACTGCGCACACCCACTCGGCGCCGTACACTCCGGAGCAGAACGGCGCAGCGGAGCGGCTCAATCGCACGCTCCTCGACCGTGTGCGGGCTATGCTGTACGATGCCGCGCTCCCGGACAGCTTTTGGTCGGAAGCTGTGCTATACACCAACCTCCTGCGCAATGTTTCCCCCTCTCAGGGCCGGGAGGCCACACCGTGGGCAACTTATCATGGCGTCACCCCCGACGTCAGCCACCTGCACACCTTCGGCTGCCTGGCATACGTCCGCATCCCAATCAGCCAGCAGGATAAGCTCGGTCCCCGCGCAAAGGCGGGAACCTACCTTGGACCGGAGCGCGGCACGGCCGCCCACCGCGTCCTCGTCGACGGTAAGGTGACTGTTAGCAGCGACGTCACCTTCGACGACGACCTCCGCGGCCTGGCGTCTCAACGGGCGGGCACCCCCTTCGGCGCTAGCCCCGCCCGTCCTGGCAGCGGCGACCCCGTCGGCGGCTCTACACAGCCCGCCACACCGCCGCCTCCAGTGGATGCACCGCCTCCAGTGGACCCAGCACCCCCCCTCCGCCCCAACACACGCAGCCAACGGCAACCTCTTCACCCGCCGCTGGCCACAGTCTGCCCAGCCAACAACAGCAGCGGCGGCGGCGGAGATTTGGGTAGTCCACCGCTGCTTAACAAAGCGTCGGGAAGCGATTATGCTG